TGTGTGTGTGTGTGTGTGTGTGTGTGTGTGTGTGTGTGACGCAGATCTCCACTTCCTGTTCAGATGTTCAACAATGGACCCCCTGTTCCCACAGAGACAGAAATAGAATCAGAACCAGGACCGTGGGTCATGTGTCAGCRGGTCTCACAGCTGCTGGAGGAGGAAGAGAGAAAAACAGCCGAAGGAAGMGAATCGGCTGTTTTTCTCTCTCCCCCGGCTGAACGGATCAGAACAAACCCGGACAGAACTCTGGACCTGTGACGTCAGCAGGTCCAGCTGTGAGAACAGAACCAGGACGTAGTCCCAGAACCTCCAAACATGGACACACTGGTTCTGTTCTGAGGAATGTTCTCACAGCTGAGCAGCGCCCGGCCCGGCCCGGCCCGGCCGCACGGATCAGAACCACGGCTCCTGTAGGCCAGCTGTGGGCGGGGTCGGGGGCGGGGTTTGGACTCACGGTGAAGCTGTTGTTGACGTTCTTGGTGCTGGACTCGGCCACGCTGGCGTCCGTCAGGTCCACCTCGTCGAAGATGATGGACTGCAGACAGACAGGAAGTGGCGGACGGTCAGTGGGGAAGCTCGGCTCAGGCTCCGCCCACCGACGCCCTCCCCGAGGACTCACCTTGCCGGTCTGGGCGTAGTACAGCGTCCTCCCTCTCAGCTTGAAGTAGCGTCTCTTCCAGCGCTGGAAGGAGCTGGTTTGCTTCAGCAGCGTGCCCTCCCTCAGCACCGTCTGCAACAGACAGGAAGTGAGGGGGCGGGGCCTCGGCAGCAGCGTCATACACAGACATGGTTTGAAGGGATTCTTTGTAAATAAAGTTAAATATTTCAAAACGTTTTAAAATGACAAACACARCACCTGAGCTGTGTGCAGGTGAGACAGCTGCCCCGAAGCCCCGCCCTCACCTGCCACCAGGTGTGTTTCATGTCTAACCTGAGAGCAAAACTACTGAGTGTCCTCTTCATCACATGAGGAAGAGGAGTAAACTGCAGCTCCTCCGGAACAGAACCTCAGACGGCTGGACCTGACCCGGTCCGACACAGGCAGCCAACCAGGTGAAGGTTCTGACTGACAAACAAAACCACAGCGACCCTGACCAGCTGGACCTGAAGGATCCTCGGGTCCTGGCCGGACACTCTGACCCGSTTCTGTGGTTATTCTTTTACAGAACCAGCTCTGACCCAACAACAGCTTCAAATAGAAACTGGACCTGAACCCAGTCACTGCTGCCTTCAGGGACTGCAGGAACTCACAGCTTCCACGCAACAGCTGAGGTTCCTGAACGCATCACTGTGCCTGTGAGGCGTTTGTGTGTCGCTTGTTTATTCAGGGTCAGAGTCCACCGGCCTGACCCATGTTCCCCAGACTCTTCCTCATCCTCCTCTTCCTCTTTATTTACACCTCATTCATAGAAAGCCTCAGAACTTTAAAATGTATTTTATATAAATATATAAGTTTAAGAATTTTACTTATAAATAACAAACATAAATAAAACATGAAATTTTTTTAATAAAATGAATGATTCCTCACTGATCACTAATTAAGTTCATAAAAACAACATGAAAACAGTAAAAAAAATTAATAAGTTTTGTTTTTATCAACATAAATAACATAAAATCGTGTAATTTAATCAGTTTACTGTTAAAATATTTGGCTCTAAATGACAGAAAACAGACCTTTAAATGTTCCGGGTTTTCTCGGAGTCCCTGAACGCAGCAGCAGCAGCTGCCGTAAAGCAGCTGATTGTTGATCAATAATCAATAACCCAACCACCCGCTGCTCACCGTAACTCACACACGGACAGAACTCTGACTCATGAGACCCGCTGCAGCTCGAAGGAACCAGAACCGAACCGAACCGAGCGACATGGAGTCCGTTAGATCTCACCGAGGATAACGGGAAACATCAACCGGTCCCGGAGACACCTTCCCCGGCCACACAGCCCCTATCTGCCTAGACCCCAACCGAACATGACACTCTAACCGAACCGGACCGGACCGGGACTTTTATCCCGGCGCGGCTGGTGTGAAATATTTAAAGTCTCTAGCTTCGGTTCCGGGACTATTTTTCTCCGCGGACTTTTTTTTCTCGTTAAATTAAGTTATGTTAATAAAACACCACGAACAGAACCGCCCTTCACCCGAACCTCACACTATTTGTTCCCGTTAAACTGTTTCCTGGCAGCGTGAGATGGACCGGGTCCTGACCCGGAATGTTTCGAATTCTCTCGGGCAGTTCACTCGGTCCAAACTGTATTTAAATTTCTGCCGGTTTAAACTGATGTTCGTCTTTTAAACGAGATATTCTGAAAWAAACGGAAAAATAAAAATAATTTTAAATAAAAAATGCTCCCAGTTTTTATTCGGCATTATTAAAATCCACCGGGAGCGAACAGGTTGGTTC